ACACACACACACACACACATACACACACACACACAACACACACACACACAACACACACACACACACACACACACACACAAGCACATTCTTAGTCGCCTTTGGTTGCTGTTGCACGGTGTCGTAGCAAAAGTTCCGATCTATCTACTGTAGCTTGGCATTTCATCTGATATTCAGTAAATCAACGTTTCTATAACTTTTGCTATTCTTCCGACTTCATAGCTTAATTTGCTTAACAGCTGCCTTTCAGAGAGGATGATAGCCTTAAGGGCAAGTACTACTATTGCGCATAGTGGGCAGCATGTCTGCATAAATAATGAGAGCAGCCAACAGTTGCAAGTTGTGTGTCCAATGGATAAATGAAAAAGGACGTGCAAAGGTCATCTGCGTAATGTTGCAAACGTCGCGAGGGGTCATTGCATTAGCACAGTGATGGTCAGTGTAATACAACCAATTCAATACCATCGGGTAAATCATACCCATAATTAATCAGACTTGGATGTATGCTGATACAGGCTTCATAAGAGTAATACTGGACTTACTTAGAACAGATCTTGTTTAAAAAAGTAAAGTAATACCAGAAGAGAAGGGAATTTTTATGAAATGAATCATTTATGAAATGAAATTTTTTTGTGAAATGATTTTAAAAAAGTTCATCTGGAAAATCCACTGGTTTCGAATTTTTAAAAAATGTAACCTTTTTTTCGTCAGGTACTGGTGCTGCTTGTTTTCGATGGGGTGATTGATGAGGACTGCATGATGAGGTTACCGATGAAGAGGAGCAGGATGGTGGGCTAGATGCTGACTGCTGTTCCCTATTAGGTCGTTTAAGAGGAGACGGACCGAGGCTTGGTGCGGATATGGCATTTGTACTTGTGACAGTTGCAGACAATAGAGGCGATATTATCGTCGCCGTTTGATAATTCGGCAAATTGGAACGGAGCTGTGAAAATGCAAATAGGGCTGATGGATCCGGGAAGGAAAATGGACTGAAGTATGGGAATGATGCTGGGAGAGCTGTTGTTGGCCTTGCCAACAGAGAAAGGGCTGTATTTAAATCCACTGGCACGGGCTGCTTTTCATTACTGAAAATTTTTTGAAAATATGAAATTATTCGACGAAAAGCAAAATTTGGTTTATCAAAAAA